GACTTCCTGTAAGTTTTTTGTTTTGCTGTTTTTGTCAGGAACGGGCATAGGCGGTCTGGCCTAGTGATCATAGCTGGACTGATGTCTGCACAGCAGGGACTGTAGTCACTGAGCAGGAGTCGGAGAAATCAGAAGAGCTAGGTCCCATAAGGAAGAGTCAGGGTCAGAATCAAGCTGGGGTCGGAGATCAGAAATAGTACCAGGCTGGAATTGGGAGACATGCGTCAGGGTCAGAATCAGGCTTGGATTGGAAACCAGAGACCAGGAGATCAAGCAAAGTCTGTCATTGCAGCAGGCCAAAGTCTATGTGGTTGCCAAGACAACTTCCTGGGGCAACCCCTGGAGTTAAATAGGGAGCTTGGCCAACCAGAGGACCGCAGGGTGCTGTCACTCTGGGTTTCTTGGGCAGTACTTCCTGTGGTACCTACTTTCCATAGTGCTTCCTGGCTGTGCCCCTGCATGGCCTCCTGGTGGCTCTGTAGGAACATCAGCTGCCCTAGGTTCTGGTCCCCAGATCTTTACAGTTTTCCATTTCCCACTGAGTTTTAAAATCAGGTTCTTTGGAAGAATAATTCCCATTACTTTCTTATCTATTTTATATGGCCCTCATCACCATGATAGCTGAAAAACTTCAATATTCCCTTTTGTTTTATAATTAGTGTTTACACCAAAATCCCCGATTTCTCTAAGCCTCTTCATCCTATGAAATTATCACACGCAACCTATCCAATAACTCCCTGATTCTCACATAAGGAAACAATAGTTTTCTATGTTGAAGTGATTCTGCAACCTCTGCCCCTCGTAATTCCAATATGTTCCCTTATTTTGTTTGATTTGCTTTTTGCCATAGGTTTATGGTACTATGCAAAGAATTACAGGGCTCCCATTCTGGCACATGTCATGATCTATGTGCACCATAAGTATAAGTATCTGTGGAATATCCTATGATAATATATTACATAGGATTATTTTTAGAGGGATTTTCCATTGTTCTAAATTCAGAAGTTTGTAGGTCAGTTGTGATACATCTCACTTCCCGGCTCTCACAGGGTAATGCCATCACATTTCTCTTTCTTCTGTTAGTTACCTTAAACCTCTATTTTCCCTTTAGACATGTTAAAAGAACTGAAGATGATGTTTTAATCTATGCCTGTGATTTGGAATTTATTATACTTTTCTTCATCTAGATGATTGCACCCATAAGAAACCAGAAAAAGTGGCAATAAAATAATAATATAGACTTACCCTACTATGTAGTATTGTATCCATATGCCATTATTACATAAGTATGGCTTTAGATTTAGATTTGCTATTAAATAGCATTATGTACATGTATATTATTCCAATATTTTCAATAAATAGCTAGAACAAATGAAAAATAAAGACCGCAAGTGTTTTGCAACATTAATTAAGTGTGAGACTCACTTTTGGAGTTGGAGAACTTTTATAAGAATAGTATAGCAAATGTGTGCATACATTTCTTATCTTCCATCTTTTGTTTAAATAAGAATAGATACTTGCAGAAATGTGGTAATTAAAAAAATGAAGACACATAAACGCAGACACTGATAGAGGACTACCCGATGGGGTATGCAATGCCTGCTCCCTCCTTTACTCCTGTGGGTGCCTGATGCCTGAAGTTGATAAGGTTCTGCAGTATGATGGTAAAGCAATGTGTCCATCCTCATTCCAGGGCTAATTGTGTTGGCTGGACATGGAGGTGGAAAGTACATTGGATCCTCTTGAAGGATATAGATGCTATGTCCCTATGTTACATGGGATCTTCTAGGAATAATGATGGCTGAATTATTTCCTCTTGGGGATTCTGGCTGTTACCCAATTCCTCCAGTGTGCCAGATTGTGCCTCAAACACAATCTGGCCTTATACTTGGGAAAAACAAAGAACTTCTAAAGTAGTTTTAGATTTGGGCCTGAGGCAAGACCCCAGAACTTTGAGGAAGTTCACACCCTGATCCAACCTCTGCAGCGCAGTTCCACCTGAAAATAGTTGCCAGGAAGGTGTATAATAAACATATGTATCCTAATAAAAATTAAGTCTGTCAGTAGCTTTTTCCTGAGTGAAAGAGTAAATGCCATGTGGGAGAAGTTTCTCACTCTTAAGTCCAACAGAGACTGGTTTGGGGGAAGGAAGACCAGATTTTTGCTCAACAGTGACCGCTCCTGCTAATTAAGAAACAACATTGACAGGCTGTGAGGGGAAGTCATGTTTTTGTTCATTCTGAACCGTTCTGGATGAGGCCTGAGGTTCCAAAAGTTGTGGAGAATGTAAAACAAGGGAGAAAGCTGTAAGGTATTTAAAAGGTTATCAAGATGTCAAATATGAAAGTTCTGTGTTCATTTAAGGCCTGATTGCAATACTCTTTCTCACAATGAATGTCACCTTAGTGAAACTACTTAAGCTGTAATTAACTGTTAGCAATTTCTCAGGTTATTTTGAATATATAAAAGAACCATTTTTGTTGCACTTCTTTTATGTTGAATGGCTGCTTCAAAAATCAAGCAACTGATGGATTTTTAACTAGTTTCTTTAATGTGGGCTACATAGATCTTTGAACCTTTCATGGTTTTGTGTCTACTGAGTGACAGATGGCTGTCCTAATGAAGTTTCGTGGTACTGGCTGCTCTTAGGGCTTGTCTTCATTATAGTGTTAGCTCAAGATATAATTTGTGTGTTGCCCCTAATTTGACTCCTATCCACACATGAAAATCTCTGTCTTGAGTTCAATGATGTTTGAAACTCTAGCTAACTGTTGCAATGAAGATAAGCCTTTAGTAGTTTGTATAGGTTCCTGAAAGGTGTAACTCTGAACATAATTTTTGAATTACTTTATTTCCCTATTACTGTTTTTCCTCCTGTTCTGGCATGACTGCTTCTTTTGAGGGGAGGGGGTGGAAGGCAACATGCGCAGAAAATCACCTCAACTTTTTAATTATTTTTTAAAAAGAACATCAGATAGCTGGAATTTTTAAATTAGGTCACTGGAAAAATGACCTAATTTAAAAATTCCCCTCCCCCCTCCAAAGACCTGTGTGGCATTTCACAGTATGAAAGTAGGAGACTCTTATATTATTTTAACATTTAAAGAGATTTCGCACCTGCCATTTTCTGAGACATTCCACTATGGATTTTTTGTTTGTTTTATTACTATTACTCCTTTTTTGCACAAATAATGTTGCATGTCTGTGACCCCTACTGTCATAAGTAAAATGGAGTGAAAATCAGAATTTCCATCCAGCAGGAAATTTTGGTATTTCAACATATTTTCTTCCAATTTTTTATAGAACAAATAGTTCCAAAATATTTCAATTCAGACATGACAAAATATTTCATTTCAGCATTTTCAATCAAACCAAAATGTTTTGATGTTCCCAAAATGTTCACTTTGGCTTGTTGAACTGACCTGAAACATTTCATTTTGAAAAATTCATTATTTGCCCAGCTCTAAATACAATGTTCCTAATACAGGAAACATCCTAAAGTTCCACACACCAAGGAGAGCATCATTCCCGGAGTGTAGATTAAAGAACCGTTTTTTATAGTTAATAAGCAACAATTTTGTGCTATTTAAGATATCTTGAATTGGACTTTAGTGACTTTTGGTGGGACAAGCTTTTTTGGCTCGAGTGCTCTGTAGAGAAAGAAACTACTGATTGAGGGAAGCAAAGGACTCAAGCTTGGAGGAGTGGGTGAAATTGAAAGTGTTTTTACTGTTTTTGGTTGGGCTGGGTTTTTTGTTCTTTTAATCACTTGATTTTGATTTTTAAATTCTTTTGTGTATGTCCCTATGAGTATGGTGGAAATTGGAGATTGCATTTTGATGATATTTTGTCAAGTAGTGCATTTGATAAGTAACATAGCAAGGATGGGTATGTTTACAGCAAAAGCTCTGTTGTCTCATCAAGTGTGGTCATTTTACTAACAGTGGGCTGGATTACCACCTTTCAATCCAGCCCAAGGGGCAGTGCATAGTTACACTGCCCCAGGAGGAATGATAGGCATTAGACTGTGACTTGGAGAGTCACAATTGGGTGCCAGCTTCTTCCTTGGTGAGGGAATTAATCTGTACCAGCTCTTTTGCTAGACTAAAGGGTCCTGTGGCACCTTTAAGACTAACAGAAGTATTGGGAGCATAAGCTTTCGTGGGTAAGAACCTCACTTGCATCTGAAAGTTTACCCACGAAAGCTTATGCTCCCAATACTTCTGTTAGTCTTAAAGGTGCCACAGGACCCTCTGTTGCTTTTTACAGATTCAGACTAACACGGCTACCCCTCTGATATTTGCTAGACCAGTGTACTACCACCATTGCATTTGTGGGGTGGAGCCAAGGCTCCACTCAATGTCTTTCTCTGACTGTCCACTCTCCATCCAGGGAGAGGAAGAAGCGGTCTGCCACTCTCTGCTTTCCTTCCACCCTTTGCAGGGTTTGGCAATGCAGATAGCTGTGCGGGTGAGTAAGGGGGCTCTTTATTCCTCTGTGCAGGTGCAAAGCCAGGTCACGAATCACCACTCTGTAACCAGTCCAAACTGATCAAGAAACAATGACTGACTAATCAGAGCTGACATCTGTAATTAGTGTGTTTTATATACTTTTTTTATTGGTTGTGGTTTCTTAAGAAAATAAAGATATCCTCATGCTCACAACATTGTTCATTGTTCTTGTATTATATTAATCAAAAGATATCAGTTTTACCTTCTACCTTATGCTAATGTATACAAGGTCTATTGTTTCCATGAATAGTTATGATGACCTTTCATGGAAGTTAAAGAAAACCCCATCAAGCATACCTACATATTTGACCTCATTTTGCTACTTTTCTGCATGTGTATTCAAACATATAAAAATAATGCAATATTTTCTTCCTGAACACATACATAAATGTGACAGAATGGCAGCCCATTTTCCATAAATGTGCCTACATTTTTGAATAAACACAAATGATGCTTGCTTTTAAATAAGATTTCTGTGTACTACATTAGGATGTCTAATGGGAGAATCGTCAGATTTCCTGGTTTCTTGGTCACGGACTGATGATATCAAACCAGGGATGCAGGTACAATATGCTTTTCTCTTTCCACTCATCATCAACCCAAATCTCAGCCTCTGAGAATGATCATGAACAATGTGGGTGCTGAAAATGAAATTCAAAGCCTGTTTACATAAACGCCAAAGCATGAACTTCAATTTGAAAAAGCATGCTCTCATCATAATTACTGTACATGCAGTGTGCGTTTGATTGGATGATTACTGACAGGCTTTGGCTGCTTGTTTTCTCCATTACTGCCATTGTTTTGTTCAGCAGTGTCTCAGCAGTTTTGCAGGACTTTTATTTGTGAGATGACAGTCCTATCATCACCAAGCTTTTGATGTTACAGCTATTTTACCATAAGTAAGCGGAGCAGTTTTGGGTTAGGAAATGGAAATGCATTTCATTCGGTCTTGTCAACTGTCTCATTACTCTCCACTCATCAGAATAGGTATTTGATTCTGAGAAATAACTCAGCAACTTTTCATCCTTTTTGTGCCTTAATAGAAACACTTTTATTTGATCAAGTATGTGCATTTTTGTCAGTCTCTTGTTCTGCTTGCTCATATATCTGTTTCTGAAGATCCTTGTTTTCCTTTAACATCATATATTGTTGAAGACAACCTGAAGTTAACTAATGGCTTCTGATGAGGACAAGCACTGTGGGTGCTCTGGATACCTGTGTCTGAATTTCAATTATAGTGTTGCTGCTTTGCATTTCACCATTGATGTCAAGAGACTCTAAAGCATAACCATGGGAGCTACCTCTCCCAGTATAGGGGGATTCTGTTGTGGCTCAGAGACAACATAATGGCTTGTACACCACTTTCCTTCCTGCAGCCATTGTAGGGAGGATTTTCCAGGGAAAGGGGGATGTATCTGGGGATTCTCTGTACTCCAGTGATCCCTGGATGACCCTGGGGTCTGTTAGTCATCAGGCTTTTCTAATTTATGCTGGAGGAATGGACTTACACACAGATATCCAAGGACTGGGATAGTGTAAAGGTGGCTTAAAGACCTTTTTGCATACTCCAACTATCCACATGATTCTCATCCGAAGCTGAAGATCTAGACCATAATTTTTGCAATGGTGTTTACTGTATGTTAAAATCTTAAATGGGAAGAGTATTTAAGCAGTCATCCTCTATACCAGTGGTTCCCAAACTTGTTCCACCACTTGTACAGGGAAAGCCCCTGGCGGGCCGGGCCGGTTTGTTTACCTGCCCCGTCCGCAGGTTCAGCTGATCGCAGCTCCCAGTGGCCGCAGTTCGCTGCTCCAGGCCAATGGGAGCTGCTGGAAGTGGCGCGGGCCGAGGGATGTACTGGCCGCCACTTCCAGCAGCTCCCATTGGCCTGGAGCAGCGAACCGCGGCCACTGGGAGCCGCAATCGGCTGAACCTGCGGATGCGGCAGGTAAACAAACCGGCCCGGCCCACCAGGGGCTTTCCCTACACAAGCAGCGGAACAAGTTTGGGAACCACTGCTCTATGGCATGATTCTCCTCTTGCTTACACTGATGTAAATCAGGAATAACTCCATTGACTTGAATGTAATTACACCAATGTAATACTGTTGTGAGAGAATAAAACGCTGATAGCATTTAAATGGCAGCACTGTCATGTCTGTAGGGTGCTTACTCATCTTTCTTACTTAAATTATTAGAATAAAAAAAATCAGATTTTCTCTCTCAATCAACTCAGAGAGAGAAGTGTTGTTATTCATATAGAAGGGGTCAGATCTCAGCTGATACATATCGACATAGCTCACTTGATTTAAAGGACCTATACAGATTTACACCAGCTGAGAACCTATCCCTTTTATAGTATATCATATTCATATATCTTTTCAACATTTGCCACTTTTGATTATTTGTGCATTGAAACACGAGTCAGAGCCTTTGACCAAAGTTGATCTTTATTTTGATAAAAATGTGTCTCTTTGTATAATTTTTATATACAGATTTAAGTGCCTTTTCCCTCATAAGGATGTATTCTCTTGACTGTTTAGGATGATCGAACCCTTAAATGAAGGGGAATGATTTTTAATATTGCAGCTACAGTGTAGGCAATGAACTGACTGAGAATATCATCACAGACACATGGAAATGGCCCTTTTCCCAGTACCATTACCCAGCATGAAATTGCCCCAAACCCACATTGTTGCAGTTTAAGTTAATACCCACAGAGTGGAGTCCATGCCATTGCACAGAGTGTCAGTAATGCAATAGTCAGTCTTAGGCGGTCGGGGACTGATCATCCCCTTATCTCCCTGAAAACAGCTTTAGTCAGTGGGATATCTAAGGTTTGTACCTCTCTGCACGTTGGCCTGCTGCTGCATTTTTTTTTCATCCAGAAGTGATAGACAGAGATTGCTTTGGATCATGTCTGTGCTGACCCTAGAAGAGTAAACAGATGTCACTATTAAAGGTGAAATATGACTCACCTTCTAACCATTCACACAGCATTCCCTGCTTTCAGAGACACAAGAGGCAAATGGCCAAATCCACAAATGTTATTGTCTCTCTCATCTAGCAGCAGAGTGCTGTCCTTAGACAACCAGGCAGGAATACACACACAAACTGAATATGGATTGGCAGCTGCTTGATATGACTGTGTGAAACCATGGCTTTTAGAGAGGCAAATGGTATCTCTTCATTAGTAGAATTTTATTGAAAATAAGTGCAGAATATTTTTTTCAGTATATAAGTGTGTGTGTGTGTGTGTGTGTGTGTGTTCGTTCGTTTTCTTCCTCCAAAAAAAAAGTGTTTTCAAGATTGACATGTTTGATTGTTTCAGCTCTTTTTCAATATTGAGTTTTTGCCAAGGTTGTTAACAACAAATAGAGCATACGACTAAGAGATATTTATTAGTCATCCCCCAGATACTTCACAACCCAGTTATTATCTCACTCTCTAAGCCCACACAAAGAACAAAACAAAATCATAAAATGCAGAACAAAATAAAATATGACTTGAAGGTGGGAGGCACCTTCACTATATAATAATCATTCCAACAAATACAGTATTGCATATTTTCATGTATTAATTCCAAATTCATTGATATAACCCATAAATTGTTTCCATATGTACTGAGGCTGTGTCTGCACTTGCAGCTGGGGATGTGATTCCCAGCTTGAGTAGACATACGCATCAAGCTAGTGTGCTAAAAATAGTAGTGTAGCCATAGTAGCATCAGCAGCAGTGCGTGGCGGCATGGGCTAGCCACCCTAAGTACGTACCCATGGGGTCTGGTCAGGTTTATACTCAGGTCGGCTAGCCTGTTCTGCCTATCGCCTCTGCCTCTGGTACTGCAGCTACACTACTATTTTTAGTGTGCTGGCTTGATGAGAGCTAACATGAGCATATCTATACAAGCTGGGAATCAACCTCCATCTCCAAGTGTAGACATATCTTAAATCTCCCCTATTCTATATTTTCAAAATACCTCCTTCAAGAAATGCCATGAGTAAGGTAGGTTAGCCACCAGGCATTCTACTTCAGTTGGTGGTGCACTGTATTTTCAGATTCTTAATTATTCTGTTTGCCATCTTAATCCACCTTGCATCCAGATTGCCTTCCTCAGTTAAAAGTTTTTCAGATCAGAAATATCATTTAATGTACAGTAAGATTAGCCGTAAACTCCCCATTGCCTTTTCCAAATATCCTTTTTGTGACTTTACAATCCCAAAGCATGTCAATAACATTACTGACAATTTTGACATCTCCAACAAAACTTTGTAGCGTCAGACCCGATCTACCCATTTTCTGTGGTGTTTATTTTATGGCATATACCTTTTAAAAACATTTCCCATTGCCTATTTTCATTCTCCCGCTCAATTTCATTTTTCACTGGCCATAAGTGCCCATTACTGATGCTTCTTAGAAATGTAGATACTTGGCAAGCACTAAATCTGATTTTTTTCAGTAATGTGGCACGATCAAATGAGGGCCAGATCCTCAGCTGTTCTAAATTGGTGGGACTCCTATGTCTGGCCCTGTGTGTTCATGCATGCTAAAAAGATTCATATTTCACCCTTATTCCACAGAAGCATGTGCACCTCATCATAAATATGCTTGGTTATATTTCAGTTCTTATTATTTGTATACTATATGCTATATGCTTCCATATATACGGTTTATTTAGTTAAATCCCCAAATAATAATTTGTCATTTAAACCTCATTAAATAGTCTAATAGCTGTAACATTTCCTTACCTTGCAGATTGGTTTCTGTTTTGCTTGGGACTTGTGCCATGCTATGCTTTGAAACAAAATTGATAATTTGGCATTGCAGCTAAATGGAAAACTCTGTCGCTTCCAAAATATGTGGTACATACTTAGTGCAGTGTCTCATGAAGCTGCAAAGGCCACATTTCCTGCCCTGCTGTAGTCAGGAGTCTGATTTCTAGTGGCAATGCACAACTTCAGTCACAATGATTATAAGCAAGTTTCCTGATGTGGATGCCCAGTGTGAAAGAGAATTATAATAACTTGGCACCTTTTAACTGTTAATATTTGAAATATAAGTACCTTTGACAGGACTTTGCCATTAGGAAGGTAAACAGTGCAGCCAACATACTCTTGTGAGTAGGATTTGTTCTGAGTGTAAAGAATATAGAGACAGGGAAGAAAGTCCGTTCTGTTGAATAATATTACTGAACATTGTTAAGCTCAGTAGTTGTGTATCTTCATTTGAATAGTTATTTTAAAATGTGTACTTACTTGCCTTTTGACAGAAAGAGTACTCAGTGCGGGGATATTAATACAGACCTTAGATGTAACAGGTTCTTGTTTTAAAAGTTCTCATGGTAGTTGCTTGTGCTCCCTTTGATGTATGGAATAAGTCCCAGTTTTAAAGCTTCCTAGTTACTGCCATTTTTTTGCCCTAGTACATTGTTATAACAAGCAAACAGTATAGACTTAAGATGCAATTAGTTGCTAACTTAGACTGTTTATGAGAACTGAGCTGATCAGCTGGAAGGTGCTCTGTTTAAGGATACCATAACCAAGACTTCAGGTTGCATTATTTA